AACTCAATACAGGGACTAGTACGCTTTGAAAATCAAGTTATCACTCAGGAAAGCTATCTAAGTGAGCTTTTACGCTTTTCCTTTGACAGATACTTTTTGTTTTTTTAAAATAACAAAACTCACGATACTTACTAAAGTACATACAGGGAATAATTGACAATTAAACTGGAAATTTTAATCAACAAAAAAAAAAAAAATATTCCCAATATCCCAATTGCTACCTGTGCAATATCCTGGCCGAATGCAATGCATCAAAAGCATTCAAATAACAAAAAGTAGTATAAAGAAATGGTGCTGCATTCGTGGGATGACCTTTTCAACACCAACCTTTCGTGGAAATTTAAATCTGAAATCGTAAAACTTTCACGATTGATTTTCAAATGAAATTGAAAAAATAACGCACTTTAATATCAAACACAAAATCGTACAAAAGATTTATATCCTTTTTGGTTGGCCTCAGGACGAAATTCAATTGTTAAATTTGAAGATGTAAGCACTTCAAACAAAAAGTACTTATAATGGGAATGGAGCAATTCTAAGAATAGTTGAATGACAGTAACACTAGTCTTAATAATAATATTTAATAATAAAGTTGTCAGAGAGGGTGACATATAAAATCAGCACAAACCCAAAATAATGTTATTATCCGAATATGAGGTATGAGGAACTCACTGAAAATATTATAGATGCATAAACGTTATGTGAAGTATATCCAATACAAAATTTGCTTTATGCGATATTATGATTGAAAACAACTGAAAACTTGGAGATAAATTGTTCAAGTAGCTTTATATCAATACCTAGCACCAGGGATATTACACAGAACTCACACGTTTTCAACAAATGAAATGATAATTACTAGACTCACGTATATCCATAAAACATAAATAAGAATACCGATAATAACTTTTTGATTTTAAATTTCTCAATTGTTTGAAATAGACCAATCTTTTATACTCAATTTCCGGGAATGAGCTTTTGAAAATTTCAAGTATAACATTATTACCATAAATAAATAAAGAATTATATTTTTATTATGCCGAACACACCACTTTTTAATTTATTTTGAAAAAATAGTTAAACACGAGATAGAGATCGTTTACAAATTCATGACAGAAGCTGATAAAGAGTTTCTACATTCTTTACTTAAAAGCGAGCAATCGAATACAAAACATCTTTCAACTCCTTTCTGTACACGTAAGCTAGCGCGGAAACCACGATTGCACACCCAGTCACTGGTAAAAAGTAATCACTTTTCCAAACTTTATCAAATATACTTTCTTCTATAGGGTCGTTATCTTCTACGAACTCTTTTACATTTTCACAATAAAAAAAGACAAAACGAATACGGACCATATCTGGAACTTCTATGTGTATATGAGAGCACTTGCGATTATTATCATGACTGGTACGCATGTAATCTCTTCTTTCTATAAATTCACATAATGCTACTGCCTTGAAGGAGTCACACATGGATGACTCACCAATACATTTTGTGCTGGGAGTACCATTTAATACAAGTTCACACTCACTATTGAATGGTATACCATTACTACCGCTGTCCCTGTACCTTGAAAATCCATCACATAGTATTTCGAATAAATTTTCAGTTGCGCAACCAAAAAAGCTATATCTTGTCGGGTAATTCTCGCTTCTCGCCTTAAATAGTTTTTCTTCCTCACTATTTTCATCATAGTCCACCCTAAATGCGTAAGTTGGCTTTTTAAAGGAATGATTTTGAGGTACACTGGACACGAATTCATCAATATCTTCACTACAAAGACTTTGAAATGTTGGCAATTTTAAGTCGAAGAGCACCCAATAGACCAATAAAATTGATAATTTATCGCAACATCGAATTTGTTTCATTAATCGTCGATATATCTCATACATATGGGGAACATCGTTGATTAACGTCATTAAATGTGTATGGTTTTTAATGAACCCAGGCAGGTACGGCAACATTCTTTTATAATTGTCATTGTTCTGTACAACGGTTGTGAATAAATTCCATTTAACATCGCATGCATTCAAGTCATTAATTATAGCTTCTATAATTGTCTTGCATTTCTGTGAAAATTGTATGGGAGTGCCAATCACATCCTGTGGTTCAGACGATGACTTATGGTTATCTCCACTCTCGACCTGTGCTGCTTCCGACATCTGGTCAGAAACACTTTTTCCTGCCTTAGCCATTTTCGTATAATGAGTATTAAAATATAATTAGTACTAACGAAATTTAATCTACATGTGAAACATGTATAGTTCTAAAATATAATTCATTGGTCTAAAGAGTGGGATCGGAATATATGAAATCGGTTTTGAATAGAAATTTTTTTTATAGAATATAAAAGAAAACAATTTGACAAGTATATTAACATTAGACAAATAAAATCAAAACATACTTTGTTTTGATATTTAGTTAAAGTTTGAAAATGTTGAATATGAGTCAGAGATGACTATTAAGTCCTTCAGTGGACACATTATAATTGCTAAGAAAATTATATTGATTGTCATACACTATTAAAAATAAAAATACAAAAGCATAATAAATATCAAATATTAAATTTATTTAAAAAAATATAGACAAATTTTATTCTCTGAATTTGTCTTCATTTGGACTAATAGCAGTTTATATTAACATACGGTGTTATCGCCGGCTCTCATCACTACCAGATAATTTTGAAAATTGAAAACTCAGAGAGATTTCATAAAAACTGAAATGAAACTCCTACACAATTTAACTCTGCTAGTCATGTGATTGACTGGAAATGCGAATCGTAAATTCATTTGATTTTAAAACACAAGACTTAGGGAAAAACTTCAGTATCGTTAACACATTTGTATTCATACAAATATTAATCAATCTAGTACAATGAAAAAACAAATACTTTATTTTCACTAAATAGTTTCTAGAAATGTAACAAAAAATGGAGCCAGTTACGCTCCATTTTTTTTATTGATCAATATGGACCAATTAGTCTCAGGAAATTACAAAACTATATCAAAACCTACATATTATGCAAACTTATGTTAAGTAACCCTTAAGTGTTCGATTTTGTGTTACTAAAATTGAAAACAAAAAATGACTTTAGTCCAAAATCGTCACTTAGGTGTGCATTATAAAATTGATCTTAAATACAATTAAAAAAATATTCTCCATATTTTTATTCGAAAATGTGAAAAAATATATTTATATATGAACAATACGGAAAAAATTATAATTAAAAAAAATATTTTTTAAAACGTAAGAAGAATTTCATAAAAAAGCATACTAAGTATTATTTATAATTGGAATGGTAAATGATCGGCTTTAAGCCGACTTTTATAGACTTTTAATTAAATAATATAAAAGAAAGAGAAATATAATTTCTCTTTCACTAAATTAACTAATGATCATATATGTAAATAATAGTTCATTCCATAAAGCTTCATATGTATTTTATAGCATTGTATATTATCTATTAATTCCTTATAACTAGTGAATATGTATTTAACTCAACTAGAAACCCAACAATCTCAGATATTTGAGCAACAATTTAAACGGAAGAAACTATGTAACCGAAGTTTAAAAATAATTGTAAAAATATGTAAATATGACAGTCATGATAATATGTAGATACATAAATTGTCCAGCTTTGCTTCATACAAGTACATCAAGCAAGCGCAAGATCATACCAAGAACCTAGTAAAATAGTCGTAGAGCAAACCTAGTAAAACCAAATTTTTTACTCCATTGTAAACTAAACAATTTCTCATGGATTTATTAGAGACAAATCCATCCGTTCGTATTTATTTTGCTCATATTATCATGAAACCTATTATTTAATCCAAATTTTTCTTTGAGTAAAAATTGCAAAACGCACATACACACCACACATTCACATTCACACCCACACCCCAACTCACAGCCTCACATACACACACACACAGTTACATTCAAAAATAAATACATTTGAAGACATTCAAACAAGCCGCAAAGTAGACAGCAAATCAGTTTCAATAAAAGTTTGGCCGTGGCGTGGTAAATATTAAGTAGTGAATTTAATTAATAAATTTTTAAGCATTTAAATATATTAGTTACTTTTAGATGAAAAATTAAATATATATTAACCTATACTATATAACTTAACCTTTCCGAATACAAATACATAAACCATTGTATTTATTAATTTGATTGAACAATCTGAATTGACACTAATACAATAAAGTAAAAGTAAAAGTAAAATTCAAAATTCTTTAAAACACTTTATTTGTTACTATTAACTCCTCTAACAGACTCCCCCTTTTTCTTAATCCTAATGCTCTACAGTGCTCTACTCTCTCTTACTACTCTTTCTATCTCTTTCTCTCTATGCTTTTCATTTCGTTCCGATAAAATTTGCATTCAACTGAATTTATCGAAATTTCCTTTTTTATGCTCTGATGCGTACTGTACTTTCAAAATTTCACTAGTTTTGTAGTTTGTAGTTTAAATCCTTGCTCAAATCTACTTCTATTAATTGCTATTAACTATCTCCATAACTGATTAGTAATAAACACAATCATTTGGACAAAAATATTTTAACTAAAAATTAGTTTTCGTAAAAATTTTCTTAACAAAAAAAATTAGTTTTAAAAGAAAAATCAAAAAAAATTATATACTATATAGTATAAATAAAAGTCTTATGTTTCAAAATTTTTTCATTTGAATTAAATTCGTTTTTTTCGATTTTTAATCGATAAAATTCTTTTCTTTTTTTCTTCTTTTTTTGATTTATTCTACTTGGATTTTTCGGTTTTCAATCAATCAATCAAATCCAAATCAATCAATCAATCAAAACAATCTTAAATAAATCAAAACAAAAAATTTATATAATATATAAAAAAAATGTCTTTGTATAACTCACTGTGAATGAAATGAAACGCAAAAAAAAACAAAATACCAAAACCAAAATCAAAAAAAAAAATTATAAACACTAAAAACAATAACAACATAACAATCAATGACAATGACAAAGATGATGTTCCAGGCAAGGTGGACGAGAAGGCGACACAACTGCATGCGATCGCATCACTCAAGGTACTCTTGGACGCAACGAAACCACAACGCGGTGGCGCCACCACATCAGCAGCAAATCATGTGAAGATCAATTTAAAGGAAACAACCCTGGCTGATCGTCCAAATGGCAACATCGATACTACCTTAGATTCGGTAAGTGAGCACAATGTTTCAATTTTTAATTTTAGTTAAATATATTATTTTAAATAAAAAATTAAGAGAAAAATAATTAAATTTTAAAATATTTCCTTTAATTTTCTTTTTTAATTTTTTTCATTAAAAAATACATAAAAAACATTGATTATGAAAGCATAATTTTAGGCGTTCAATCGTGACATTATAAGAAAGTTTCTTACATAGAAATTATAATAATTAAATTTAATCAATTTATAAAAATATGAAATACTCTTAATTTATTAAATACGTAAATAAATTTAATGCATATTTTTTACATCTTTTATACATATAGACTAGTGTAGATACAGTCAAATAATATACTATCTGAACCATTAAGTAATATCCTTTAAACTATATATCCACTAGCCCATCAGTGTGGAAATTAGTATCGAAGAATCCAGAGTAAATTATGTGATATAATTATGTTCAGCTTTTTTATATTTTTAGCAACAATTCCAATGCCAATCAATAAGCTTAATGTTTCTGGATGGTTCCCGGACTATCTCTCATATTAGCTGTTCCTTGGCGGTAGTAGTTATCTTTGAGAGTATTTTCTTCACTCCCCAAATTACTCCTCTTTCTGCTCTTACATCAGTTATCATAGTTCCAATGCCACTCAATAAGCTTAAAGTTTCTGTATGGAATCCGGACTATTTGTCAAATTAGCTCTTTCTTGGTTTTGGCAGTTATATTTGAAAGTATTTTCTTCACTACCCAAATACTTCTCCTTCTGCTCTTACATCAGTAAGCACAGTTCTAATATCACTCAATAAGTTTCTGCATGGGTTCCGGACAATCTCTCATATTAGCTGTTTCTTGGTTTTGGGAGTTATATTTGAAAGTATTTTCTTCACTACCCAAATACTTCTCCTGCTGCTCTTACATCAGTAAGCAGAGTTTTAACCACTGACTTCGATTTCAGTAGTTACTTTGGAATTATAGTAAAAAAATGTATCGATAGCTTATGTTTCTGATTAAAAGATAGTAATATTTTAGTTGATTATACCTTGGTCCCTACCCAAATAATTCACCTCAGACACCATTTGCTATACAATCATAGACTGATTCCTCTTATAAGCTTCAGTAATCAGTAGGAATACGACTTTCCTGTCCATACTCATTCTTAAGTTCAGTTTTGTATAAAACCGAAATCAAAGTGAATTGTTTATGTCTACAAAATAATATATATAACTATATTGATATCTTATGTTGAGGTTTTTTTGAGTTAGTACAACTGGACACTTTTACTTTTTCTTAGCTGGAGGGTTTCTACAAATCCCCCTTCTCGTTGACTAATTTATGTATTTCTAACAAGTTTCGTTGATTATTCGATGACTGACCTAAGATCTGCATACCGCCCCATACGGCTGGTGACTGCTCTGAGATCAGTTAGTGCTATGTAGGACAGTTTTCACATATAGCTTCAGAGCTCTGTCCGTTATGTATTTTTTGACCGGATCTATCCTCAGATCTCTCTGCGCATACACCATAGCACTTTGAAGAGTCTTTAGAGAGACTTACTTTAAGCCCCTTGTAGCTGCTGAATAGTAGAGCTGACAGCTTTGCTATACGCGCCACACCCGTAAAGAAATGCCAATCTGATTATCTGGCTATACCTAGATCAACTTTCTGTACTTAGCACTAAGGTTATTGCATTTAAAAAGTGGCTGTAAGCAATGCAGAATTTTAGCACAACTACTTCTTTTGTCTTGTATCAAACGCTTATCAAATGTGATTCCCAGTCATTTGAAGCTGTCTTCCCAATTTATCGCAATGCTACCAACTCTTACTCTCACTGTATTTACGAGTTATTAACAGGGCTTTAGTTTTTTGTGGAAATTATTATTATTGTTAGAGAATGTGGCACTGCGACCATAAACCCCCTTCTGGGTTTAGAGTAGGTCTTTAAGCCCTGTTTTTTCTATAAAAAGTAGTATGGAACCTAATTTACAGAGTTTTATTGCTTCTTTCGTAAGAATATACATTACCAGGAGCCTATTACGTTTGTGCATTAGCGCAGGGCATTCTAACAGCATATATATGGCCGACTCCTCATTCTGTTCGCAGAATCTCCGTTGCATCCGTATGTATACCCAGTGTTGTAAGGTGATATTTTAGTACACAGTTCCCTGTTAGGGTTCCTGTAATGATTTTAAGTTTTTCTTTTGATAGATTCACAAAATCCTAGTATATCTTATTGTTATAGGTAGCAATAAGAGATTTGGATTGTGTTTATCCTGGTTTATTTTGCCAGTAAGTCTGTCGAAGATTCTACACTTTGCATCCATATATATACCCAGTGTTGTAAGGTGATATTTTAGTACACAGTTCCCTGTTAGGATTCCTGTAATGATTTTAAGTTTTTCTTTTGATAGATTCACAAAATCCTAGTATATCTTATTGTTATAGGTACCAATAAGTGATTTAGATTGTATTTATCCTGGTTTATTTTGCCAGTAAGTCTGTCGAAGATTCTACACTTTGCATCCATATATATACCCAGTGTTGTAAGGTGATATTTTAGTTCACAGTTCCCTGTTAGGATTCCTGTAATGATTTTAAGTTTTTCTTTTGATAGATTCACAAAGTCCTAGTATATCTTATTGTTATAGGTAGCAATAAGAGATTTGGATTGTGTTTATCCTGGTTTATTTTTCCAGTAAGTCTGTCTTGAACGCCGTAAATTATGCATAAATTCTTTTTAATTTTTTGATATTCATTTCCTTAATTTGTCTTTCAAATTTATATAAATTTTACATTGATATGATTTATACAAATAATCTTTTTTTAATTCTACAGTTGTATCTTTTCTTTATATAACAGCCCATAAAATATCGTCACACACTACGCGCTGCATTTGATTTCTGATTTAATTTTAAGTCACGATTTTTGTTTTTTTTATGCTCTCAAGACAGTTTTTCGAGAGTTGAAACAATGCGATATATTAGTTTTTTCTTACTATTATTATTATTATTATTATTATTGTTATTGTTATTATATATACAAACTACACACATAAATAAAGGCAACCGAAATAAGAACACAGTTTTCGAACTTAAACAGCAAATTAATTCTAGTTTTTGTTAGAAATGTTAATGAGATGTGTCACAAGGTTCATGCAAGTATATCAGCAATTGAAATGTTAACTAAAGACTTTCTTCGCAAAGAATTTCAAATAACCTTTTTTATTACTTCGCATTCAGTTAGAAAATAAATACTAAAGCAATTATATTTTATATTTTGAAATTTTATAATTATTTTAAATGATACCATACTTTCGTAACATTCCGGAGGCATCAAAATATTAAAATAATATCATTCCCAGATAAATCAATTTTTATTTTTATATCCATTTTTAATTGCATTGTCCATTTCCTGCTGCATATCCTTGATTTTGTTGTTAATTGCTGTTATTGTCTCCATTCTAAAGAGTAAATCTGGTACCGAACAAATTTGCCTTGAAATCCTTTGCATACTCGACATTTTGCATTTTATGCAGATACTCAAATATATCAAAACAGTATTAAAAAAATTTGTGTATATACAAAATAATACAGAGAAAAAAATACACAGAATAAAATAATTAAAAAGAAGTCGAAAATATTTCATAAATTGAATGTTTGTTTTTTTTTTTTTTCGTTTGAATTTGTTTAGTTATTTCTTTTGCAACAAAAACAAATTTGTATGCAAGATACACAGATACTCCATTCAGTGCATAAGTTAACGTGAAAGCTGCCTGTGTGCTTGTGCGTATCTATGTACATTTATTGGTGTGTAGGTGTGTAGGTGTGCCTGATTGCCTGATTGCCCAATGTGGAAAATTGTATATGTGTATGAATGTGCATCCTGAGTACCATTGCCATTACTGTTATTGACATTTCCAACTGGACCCAAATAATAAATTCTTTTATTCTTTTTTAAAACATTGCCGTTTTTGTACATTAAAGTTTATTTTAATTTAATGTTTATAGGTTTCTATTCAGTTACACTATTGACCTTTTCAAATGCTATTGGACAACCAGTTTAATTTAATCTATTGACGTTTTACTGTGATTGACTACTCTACTCTATTTGTAAATACAACAATTAATTGCAAAAAAAATTAATTAACAACTGATTTAAACACACACAAGCAAACAGACATAGAATCCAATTACAAAAAAAAAAACAGCGACTGTGATAAATCAACTCACGATTCACATACCAATAACCACAATCACTGGACTCAACACGTGTGATTTTTTTATGTGCTTAAATTAATTAAAACTGCCATTTGGTTGAAAAAAAGTAAATAAACTAAAATGCATTGTTTCTATACAAATTGTTTTATACAGTATTTTTTAAATTATTACGCGCCGAAAAAAACTACAACTACAACTACAAACACATATAATGGATTTTTAAGTAATTACGTTACGTATACGCCATGATGTCCGTTAAATTGAATATTGTTTTTATTGTACTAAAAACGCATTGCATTCAAGTTTAACAAAAAATAATCTTAGCTTTATTTTAAAACAAGAAAGGTTTTTGTAAAATCTGTGCAAAAAATGCACTTATGTGGGAACTAATAAAATTAATGCGACTATTTGAACGCACTAAAGGTAATATTTGGTAGGTCCCTCTTTATTAGATTCCGGCTAAAGAAATTCGGAAGGTAAACAGATACTAATGTCTTCAATACTTTACAATTCCTTACATTCAATGTTAAGTTTCCATATATAACAACAGTTGGCTTCATACTCTTCAAACTGATGGTTAATTTACTGAGTTTCGCAAGGCTTTAGGTCTTTGCGATTTTATGTGTGATTTGGATATATTAACTACTATCTTATGATATAGACAAAACTACATGGAACATCAGACATAGCCTTCAAACTTTCAACAGTTAAAGACGAAATAATTTTGAATAATTGAATAATTGTACTATTTAAATTTTGAGAGCTATGTCTACTGTGCCAAACAGCTTTATCTTT